CTGACGTGACCAAACATAGCTTCCTTTTATTCCAGGAACGGTTCTCACGAGCATAGCTTGCATATGGTCGAACATAGCCCCAGAAGTCACTATCTCAAGCATGCTTTCTCGAGATAGGGACTTGAACGAGGGCTCAAAATGGACTGGAATAAATTCAAGATTGCCTAACATAGCCCTAGAAGTCACTATGGTCACGGAACAGGTGCCGTTGGTAGAGTTCGTTGGAGTCAGAGTGCTTTTGCAAGTAATCGTGGTTGTGGGGTTAAAAGACTGCAGCCATTTTGCGGGTCGGGTAAGTGGTTAGAGAGCTTCCGGAAGTGACACGATCTGGAACGGGTTCTTGTGCTCTTGGAGCCAAGGGAGTCAGTATGAAAGGAATATAGCAGATTATAACATGTTCGGACACATGCAATGGAAACAGCGTTGGATAGTGTAAGGTTGATCTTGGTAGAAGCTGGACACGAAACAGGTGTAGGTTGTAGAGTTCGTTTTAGTCACAGTGCTTCTTCAAGCAATCTTGGGCTCAAAGACTGCAGCCATGTTGGAATGGGTTTCATCAGGGCAGGGGATGACGCTGCAGATCGGGTTAATGCTCTGTATTCGGTAGTGTAGTCAGAGTGCATTTTCAAGCAATCGTGGCTGTTGAAGGGCCGCCACCACTGCCGGACGTATCACGATTGGGAATGGGTTCTTGTGCTCTTGGAGCCAAGGAATGCAGTATGAAACGAACATGGCAGACGATATCATGTTAGAATACATGCAATGGAAACAGCGTGGGATGGTTGATCATGGCAGGGTTCGTTTTAGGCAGGGGCTGACGCTGCAGATTGGGAAATGGTCCTTATTTTGAAACGTTCGTGTAGTCAGCGTGCTTTTTCAAGCAATCGTGGCTGCTGAATTGTAGATGGTTTGATCCCGTTGAATACCGCCCAAGCTCCCCTGGACGGAGCTCGATTGTGCTACCTGACAAAACGTGCAGCTATACGACAGGTGTGGCCACATGTGCGCCTACCTGAAGCTATCTTGGACTATGTTGGGGGTTAAATGGGACGTATCTTTAGTTTATTCCAGTCCATTTCGAGCCCTCGCGGGGCCATGTTTGCGACGTTCAAGTCCCTATTTCGAGAAAAGACTATGTTCGACAACATGGAAGCTATGCTCGTTCAAGTGCCTATGACTTCTAGGGCTATGTTAGGCAATATCTTTACTTTATTCCAGTCCCTTTTGAGCCCTCGTTGGGCAATGTTTACGACGTTGAAGTCCCTATCTCGAGGAAGGACGCTTGAGATAGTGACTTCTGGGGCTATGTTCGACCATATGGAAGCGATGCTCGTGAGAAAATGTTCCCGTTCCTGGACCTGATCTCTGCTTATCTCTGCTCGTGTGGAGCCAAATATGCGGACATTCAAGTCCCTATCTCGCGGACACGTCCTTTAGATAGTGACTTCTAAAGCTATGTTAGGCAATATGGAAGCTATGTTCGGTCACGTTGGGGGGGGGCTTTATTCCAGTCCCTTTTGAGCCCTCGTTGGGCTATGTTTACGACTTTCAAGTCCCTATCTCGCAGACACGTCCTTTAGATAGTGACTTCTAGGGCTATGTTAGGCAATCACTTTACTTTATTCCAGTCCCTTTTGAGCCCTCGTTGGGCCATGTTTTGCGTTCAAGTCCCTATCTCGCAGACACGTCCGTTAGATAGTGACTTCTAGGGATATGTTAGGCAATATGGAAGCTATGTTGAGCCACGTTAGGGGAGCCTGTTCAGCCAAATGTCCGGCCTCAGTCCAATTACACTTTACCGCTCAGATGACTCAAATCATGCAAAGGAAGAAAATTGCATTTTTTGCATCACCAGGGGCTTCAAAATAGCACGAATTCATCTTCCAGCATTTTAAGCCGGTTCCAAAAATGTGAAAAACACACAGGTTTCTAGAGCGAAAATGCCCCCCCCCCCAGCTAAAGCTATTGGCTTGCATATGCTAGCTTACGTATAGCGCGTGCCCTAAAAGATCGCCTCGGCACCTTCGGTGCGGGCGGATTATGGAGGTGTCTTCCACGAAGGCAAAGGGACGTTTGTAGCCACTGGTATTAAAAAACATATTCATGAGGAAAAATGGTTTATAGAAGAATAGATTGGCCCATGATCGACCCCCAAGAAGGTCAATGACGGGAAGGAATAAACCGACTGACTTAAACCTTTCTCTTCTTAGAAACTCTTGCAGAGGGCTTGACTTCTCAAAGGGGTGTTTTGCATGAGAATGGAAGGGCACTTGCAACAACGAATAAGGCATTGCCTGGATTCCTTATGTATCACCTGGCATTGCTAGCAAGCGATTCGCGTATAACGCCGCCACTATTCCTCATGATTACTGTTTACCAGGGACTACAAGAGTCCCTTCATGCAATAATTACCACAATGCCTTTTGTGAGGAACATTATTCAACCGTACTAGCTATTTTCATGTTTTGACAGATTTCAAGGTCTGAAGGTCATGTTGAAAGAACCTTTGACGGGCATGAATGCAGCCCTTTGTTCGAGACCTCATTCCAAAGGGGTTCCAGCGTTTGCGCCTGCTGACACTAGGAGGGACAAGACCGAAGAAGAGGATGGTCAGGGTTACACGCGGAGTGAAGGGATAGGCCACCAGAAGGAGGATCAAGGGCCTTAAGTGTAGACCACCACCACGCCATTCTTTCTTGGCGTCCTTTTTGGCGCACTTCCATCAACACTCCATTGGGCAACACCATGTGCTAAGGTGTTGTGTCCAACCTGGCATCCTTCGTCATACATTCCGCCACACGGCCCACAGCATATAGACCCAAGGCGACTACCTGACTCACATCCCCAACTGTCCTGCTGCCGAGCCTCTGGCTCAAAACCTCGCATGGCCACGCGCACCTTGGTCCACAAAGTCCTGTGGGCCTTTACCAAGCCGGCCTCTTCCTGTCTTGCTTTTGGCCTTCATCAAGAGGATATTGTTTTTTTTTGAGTCGTCCTGTCCCGACCGACCTCCACGATTGTGTGCCGCGGAAGGGGTTCCAGACCTCAAGGGTCAGCCGTCCCTGGTCTTCATCACCTGGAAGTCCATCTCCCAGCATCCGCACTCTGTAGGGTTCAGCACCCTTCAAAGCACCTGACCAGACCCATTCCTTCCCAATCGCCGCAATTCGACAGGAATTGGTCCATGATGGCCGGTTGATGGCCAGATTGATATTGACCCAACAGCCCCAAGAGACTGCCATGCCAAACGCTGCCGGCCCACCAGGCGAAACACCCTCTCAATCGTCGCAGCGCCATTCATCCCACATGCCTGAACCACATCCAACTCCAGCTTCGCAGCTCCACCGTTCGCTCCAGGAGCTCGTTGGGCTGGAGTTGGTTCCATGGCCGCGCTTCCTTCCCCAGCTGGCAATTTAGATGCCCTCATGGCCCTGCGTCGCTTCAGCGTGGGTTTTCCTGACCAGAAGGGATTCGTCGTCCCATCCGGCTTCGCAGGTGTCAAGGTCATCGGCTGACCTTGTGGCCCTTCCTCTTTCTCATCATCACCTGTTTGTGGGCTGTTCTCCAGGCTCTACTGTGCTGCTGCACAAGTCACAGTTTCCTCTGCTGAGAGATGTCTCTGGTGTTTCTGGGATTCTCTCAGTGACTCCCTTTACGAATTCCAAAAATAGTTTTCAGTGCTTCCTCTACCTGTGCAAGCCAGTCCATCTGCGAGAAAATCTCCCTCACTCCTTCATCTTATTTGTTTCTCAGCCTTTTGCGCTATCCTCCGAGGTCTTCTTCACATCCTCCTCTTCTTGTATTTTTCAACCAGCGCTCCCAGCAGAAAAACCGTCAACCTTGGAAAGTACCAAAGAATTCATGTTGCCAACGTCAGTCAGTGGCAACAAGGAGCCGGTCGCGAAAATCGATCGCATCACTGCCCCTCGCGAGATCAGTTGAAAACGGGCCACCCTGGTAAGATCTCGAGCCCAGCCTCTTTAGAAGGCTTAAGACGCAAGCCGGATGGCTTCCATGCGCAGCCAGCACCCCATCAGAGACTCATGATCAATGAGCAAGAGATGCTTCAGTGCCAGGGTGCACATGAATGTATGGCCCTGATCAACCCATGTCACTATGCTCCTTGCTCGTTTGTATTTCAATTGCCGCTCCGGCGGGCGTACGTGCAGGAGTTTTGAGCCAGAAGTGAAGTGAGTCGAAGAAAAGGCAAAGGTGGACAAAGATATCTAGGTTGGTATCTATTTTGATTCCGACTTGTTCCTGGCACAGGTGTCGTCTCACACTTGGCAGGGCTAGTTCAGTTTGCCTTGTCTCCATGGCGCTCGTACGAGTCTTTAGTCTTTCTGTCCAAGTTTGCCGTGCCCTGGCCTTGGCAACTGTTATCCTTCCTACTGTTTTTGTGAGGCGGTTGTTTGGGCTGTGTTGGAGCGTGCTTCATTGGCCATGTGCCCGCCTGACTGTTTTCAGCAGGAGTGGAGCTGTTGCTCACGGAACGCTTATTTGTGCATTGCTCACGGAATGTCACCGAACGCTTAACTTATTTATTTGTGCTTTGTTCTTGTTGCTCGTGGCCCTGCCCCCTTACTTAATTACAGTAAGTAGGCACCCACTTAATTGAATCAGGGAGAAGCAAGCTACTAGCTACTTAAACTACCACACAAGACCGCAGGATAGCTCATGTTTCCGTGACGAAGCGCTCGCTCTAATGATTTGGTTCTTAGATTTTGAGGGAAACTGGATAATAACTTCTTGAGTGTGTATGTCTTCCTCTCATCTCACTCTTGCTTTCAGTGTTTGAGCCTTCATGTCTTAGCACCTCACAGGCAGACAGATCAAGTAGAAAGGTTTACGGTCCATGTTTGTGCCAAAGGCATAAAGTCTGTCTGGTTTTGAAACAAAATTCCCGGGGTCATCCAAAGAAGATGCAGATAACACATTGTGAAAGGCTTCGAGGAAACACTCGCGAGTCTCGACATTCTCAGTCCAGTTTGCTGACTGAGGCCATCGAAAAACTTCCAACTTCTCTGAAAGAAGTTGCTATGCTCTACCATGAGGCTCAACATGAACGTTGTGTTTCCTTTACTACTTCAGTGCTTCAATCTTCACAGGGTGGGAATCCAGGGCACTCGGAACTACATAGTTTGTCTCGCTGTCGTTTTTGTGAGTCGTATGACTATTTCATCACAACCATGTAACTTTGCGCACATGTTTTGCATGTTGTTGTTCCACCACGCCAGACTGCACGCTATCCGGCTATCCTAAGCCCTTCAGTCGCCGAGTTGCCCGTTTTTGAAGCATGCGCGCCCAAAACAGAGTTTGGCAGGCTGGCGATTTCAGGGAGCAGGAAGATGTCATGAAGGATGGGGCCCATGCTGCTGGTGCGCGTTTCTAAATCAGATAAGTCCCATCAGTTGAGCGACCTTAGCTGTTTGCCCCACCTATATAGACGCAACCAGCTTCGCTGAACTTCACTGAACGGCATGATGGGCCACTTGAACTCACTTTTGTAGACGTCAGTGTTCAGTGTTGATGAGTCCGGAGGGAAAGCGGTCCACATTCCCTACACATCAGAGGACATCCTGGAGTTTCATTTGGCAAACTCCCAGCGAGAAGCCGCAGCATGCTTAATGAGGTTGAGTCTTCCATTGCAGTTGCAATTGTGTTGCAAGACTGATTGCATGTGAGGTAGGTGCTTGCACGACTACATTTGGTGTTGCTCTGAGGCTGCGGCCACAGAGCAGGAGATTCGTGATCGTGTTCGAACGAACAAGAAGGAGGAGGGGTGCATAGCTGAGGAAGCCAACAGAAAACCGTTTCGCATGAGAGGGCGATGCGTAGGGCTGCTGAGTTCAGACCTAAGATGGCCAACTAAAAAAGGATTAACAAAGGAAGATGAGGGTTGAGGGCCCCGTTTAAAGGAAGCCTCATCATTCAAAGGTGCCCTTACCCTTGCCTTCTACTCCCTACAAGAAGCCTTGGCTGAGACAATTTTGCAGGAGGCGCCTTGCCTTCTCCGCGTGGCCTCTGTTTTCTATGCTATGGGTGCCATGGAGGGCGCTAGGACACTGGTTGAAGAGGCCACGAGTTCTTGGTTATTCTGCACTCCTTCATTTGAGACCCGGACGAACACGTTGCATGTAACCCTGTATCTTACTGTAATTTGCTTAAGCCGGCTTAAGCATCTCCCAAGAGCTGGCCAAACACAATGCTGCAGGAGCTCTTCTGATATTATTGTCTCACTTTTACCATAGGCCTCAATAGAATTGCAGTAACAATCACCAGCCTAGCACGGCATATACACTGATACTGTTACTTGTGTTCTTGAGCTTTTAGTTCCTCTCCATTTAATCCAGTCCATATTGGAGTATGCTGGCAAAGCCACAACGTGCCATGTTGTCCGGGTTTTAGGAAAGTCGCAAAAGTGCCCCACAAGTGATGAATAGTACCTTCGTCTGGCAAGATATGCTACCAGGTCCTAGTCTTCAATCTGCTACTCCTGGAGCATGCCACGTTGTGATTCGGGTGTGTGCTCCCGCGGTCGCACCACAGGCAGTTGCTTCATTCACAAGCTTGGCAGATCAGGTACGCCGAACAGCGTTGATTTGCAATGAATGACATGAATGCAGTATATTGAACACACGAATGCTCTATGTTGAAATGTTCCATGTTTGATGACTGGACTTCAACAACAATTGCGCTGTGTGAAGCATGGCATTTGCTCCGTTAATGGTTTGGGGGTTGTCAGAACCGCCAGCAGCACCAAATGTGTTCATGTCAAGGGTATGTCACCGAATTGCCATGCCAGTGGAATGTCAACGGTAGCGGAATGATCTTCACAAGCTTGCATCAAACTTCTAGATCCTGGTATATGATTGTAATCAACTACTGAATACGGCCTGGTGTGAAGAGTCAAGAGGGTTCCGGGTTCCTTGGACACTTCAGGCTGGGCAAGTGAAAGCACTGCGGTCGCTGGCCGTGCTGTACTTGGCGCCTCTTAGCTGCCAAGTAGGGTTGTCACAAACTTTGCTTCGGAGAATGAGACAGGACGGACACTTCTGGACTCTCTTCTTGAATGGTGGCTTGCGGGCTGTAGAAAATTGATGTGTCGGACTGGGTGGGTAAGCTCAAAAAGTCTGTTGCTGGCTAGTCTCTAAATTGGGAACTGCAGGCCAGATTTTACTAGCTGCTTTGTTTGGGAGTAAAACATGGTCTAGGTCAGAAAATGGAATAGGGCATCACTGTAACTGTTTGCCTGCGTGTTGCGAAAGGATTTGATGAACATTTGGAAAGTGTCCAAAGAAGTTTTGCTGGGGTCCTGTTTTGTCAAAGGAACTTGGACAGCCAGATAAATTCAAGAACAACTGGACTGAACCACAACACCTGAAGATTCCAGATACATTGCACAAGCCAGGATGTCTTTGAAATCCCATGCTTTGAATAGACAGCAGCCAAGCAACCAAAAGGCACACACCTTGTGAATAAGACAATATACTGCAAAGTTGTGAACATAGAGAGAGAGAGAGAGAGAGAAACATATAAGAAGATACAATAGCAAGAAAAGAGAGGGCAGAACCATTGAGGCTAGAGAGAAAAAGGTAATAGAGGCTGAAGATACAGTAGACAGGAAAGGATAGATGTGAGGGAAGCAAGCTTTTTTAGTAATTTTTCCCAGATAGCGAAGCTATAGGGGTTCTTACTTCTCAATGGATGGGTTCCTGATTGCGGAAATTGGCTGCCGCTGCCGCTGCCGCCTTGTCTCCCAAGCTTGTCTCCCTTCATGATTTCGCTCTTGGCTGCCGCTGCC